TCTCCATGGTACGCCTTTCCTTCTATGCTCTGAATAGGGGAAAACAACAGTGCACGAAAAACGGAAGTGCCTGTAACGGACGGGTGGCGTTTGTGCCCGCCCTTTCCGGCGTTACTATCCTCCGCTTCCGGTTTGTCCGCGGCCGCTCTCTGTGTGAAAGTGACTTTGAGGCCGACGCTCGACTGTCGCCGCTGCGGTGAGGGGCGGCCAGGCCTGGGGTTGTGGGGGGAAGAGAGCCCCGAGGCTCCTGACACGGCCTCCTTCGACGTTGGGTGGGTCAGTCCTCTCACGGCCCATGTTCCCGGCTATGAGCCCCGGAGCCTGCCTGGGCTGCCGGCACTCAGCCCTGTAATGGGCCAGGGGAGGGCGGCGCAGTCGCCGTGTGTGGGGCGCCGAACCGGGAAGCCCAAATTTCGCCTTTCCTACAAAGGCGGGAGCGGCTTTTCGGCGAGCTTCCTGGGTCGTGGCGGCAGCTGTACGAGTGGCATTTTGTTGGGGTGGGTTTAAGCATTGTCGTAGAGGGATGTAGTAGCACTGCGGGAGTGGCCGACCTTACAGGGCTGGTGTAAACATTCTCATAGGTGGATGACAGTAATGTAAGATGCTTGCTTTACAGCGCTGGTGTTAGCGTTCTCATTGGAGGGCGGGGGGTGACATTGTGAGTAGCCTACCTTACAGGCCTGGTGTAAACATTCTCATAGGTGCAGTAATGTGAGAGGCTTACTTTACAGCGCTAGTGTTAGCATTCTCATTGGAGGGCGGGGTGACATTGTGAGTAGCCTACCTTACAGAGCTGGTGTACATAGTCTCATAGGTGGATGGTGGTGGCGACAGTATGACTGGGCTACCTTATAGTGCAGGTGTATACATTCTCATAGGGAGATAGCAGTGATGATGTGAATGGCCGACTTTACAAGGCTGGTGTAAGCATTCTCATAGGCACTACCTATGCCAGTGTGAGTGGCCTACCTTCTGGGGTGGTGAAAGCATTTCGTTTAGGTACTTTGTGTGTATTTTCCATCCTGTGGCTCACGGTGGCTTATATATTTAGCCTATTGACCACCCTCCCTTGTGAAACGAGGCTCAGGGCAGTGTATAACAGTTGTACAAACACATTCTGATCAAATTAAAAACAGTTTAAACAGTAAACAATATAGCAATATCAGACAGCCCTGAAATGAATCAGCTTTGTCAATACCTCACGTGGGAAGGAGAAAAAAGGGGAGCCAGGCAAGATGGAAACCGTTGTTGTCCTCAACTGTAGCTCTGGCAGAAAATCTCTGCCATTCAGGCCCTGCAAAACTGCATTAGGGTGCTGATGTCATTCGGCAGAGAGTTCTACCTGGTTGGGGCCAGGGCCAGAAAAGCCCTGGCTCTGGTTGAGGACATCCCGGCTTCCAGGGGGATCTTTCTCATGATTGCTCTCTTGGTGTCTGCTGAAGCATTGTTAAGCCCCAGGACTTCTCTCCTGAGAGATGCAGCTTCCTCCCACATTCTGGATTGAACCCCAAAATGATTGGTGCTGATGACAAAATTTGCACATAAGGGCTTCGAAGGCAAGTGCTTTCTGCATTTGGGCAAGGAGCTGCCATTTGTATGCAAGAAAGTTAAGGTACTTTGTAGCTGGGCTGGAGCAAAATTCTTGGAAACGACACTGTATGGCAGAGGTGTCAACTGCATTAGTTAGCAAGGCCGGCTCTGACATCCGTGTCACTTTGTCGGGCTGGGCCATGTGTCCCATAAAATGTAATGCCAGTTACTGGAGACATTTTACCACCGACCGTGACACATACCCCTCCTCAGCAGAGCTCAGAGCCAAACCAGGCCTCCTTGCCCCTTATGGTTGCTAATTCTGGGTTGGGCAATCCCCAGAGATGTGGGGGAAGACCCTGGAAAAGGCCTGCATTTGGGGAAGGGAGGGACTTCAGCAGGGGTTATAATACCCTCATATAGGCTCTTCTGGTCCACATTTGGACTGGTTTCCCCCCAGGTGCTTGCAGGCCAGATAAGAGCCCTGGATGGGCTGGTTCTGGCCCCTGGACCGTATGCTTGATATGTCTGCTGCATGGCATTCTTCCATCCAGGCAGTTCTCATGGGTTGGCTGTGTTTCAGACCAGTGCGTATGATGCTGAATGGATTCCTGGTAAAGTATAGTAGTAGCGGTAACTGTCATAATAATAGTAGTATTTTTATAGTACTTTTCCATGTTCAAACCATGTCAGTACATAATCACAGTAATGCTAACATCAGCCCTGCGAGATAGGCTAGTATTATCCCCATGTTGCAGGTTACTGGCTGACAGTGAGACAGACGAGCTTGTAAGTGTGAGGAGTCTTGAACTAGTAACCTGTTCGTTCTTTCAGCCAGCACCCATCTTTATGTATCCTTAATTTTCGGTTGGTGACATGGCACCATTTTGTGAGAGGGGAGAAGAGACAAAACCCGAATCCTACACTAAATCCTGTGAAATATCTATACCTTCAATGTTTGGGCTTCTGACCTTTGAAGCCCTCTTTTAGAGTAAGGCCTTTATGTTGCAGGTAAATATGATACTGTTGGCAAAAGATGAAAATGTGTTTTAAAAAACATGGCAGAAACTAGATAGATGGATGGGAAAAAAATGTGTAAAGAATCTCCAAAGGATACTCTGTATTAAGAATTTTTTTTTTTTTTTGTAATTTTGTTTTGGAAAATAGATAAATATACTATTAAAAAAAAGGAAGGGGGATTATCTTCTCATGGCCGTGCTACGAAGCTCCTGTTTGTTTGCTTTTTATGAACTTTGTGTATCTTTTCAGGAAACAAGATGGCCGAAACCATTCGGGAGAAACTGGAAAACTACAAAACAGCTCCCTTTGATAGCAGGTTCCCCAACCAAAACCAAACACGCAATTGCTGGCAGAACTACCTTGGTGGGTATATTGTTAATGATGTGTGAAACATTTGCGTTATCGCTCTCTAGTTTCTCATTCCTAGTGTGGCTTCTGAATTTCAGATTGTTGCAGGGCAAAGAAATATCCCCCCCCCCTTAGAAAGTTTGAATTTCTCCATGGTTGCCGTGTCTGATCGATCAACCATGGGATGAACGCACAGTAAAGCAGGTTAAGGAGGGGATGTCTCATCAAACCTCTCTATTTCAAAGAAACCTGGATAAATTAAAGGTGGCTCCAGAGTGCGGTAAGCTTGATGTCTGAATGCAGCCATAGAGTTGTTCAGATCTTCTTGGTGTAGATGACAGAATTGGAGCAATATGCTGTTGTTGGATGTCTTTATAGAATGGGCAATGAAGAAGAATATGTTCAAAGGACTCTACTTTCCCCATATGACGTGGACAAAGCCATTGAGGGAGCAGAATATGATGGTATCTACCTTCGAGAAGGGCTGAAGGTAGAGCATTAAAGCGTGCCAGGGTGAAGATTCTTTGGTACTTGGTGATCTCAAGGGATCTGAGATAACCTGCTGGTTGAAAACATTTGGCATGCTTCAGGATGACTGAGTATTTGGTTGAAAACATTTGGCATGCTTCAGGATGACTGCGTATTTGGTTGAAAACATTTGGCATGCTTCAGGATGACTGAGTATTTCTGTTATCTGTGCTCTATCTGATTGTAGGGCGTGGTCCCAGAACCACCGTTGAATTGTTTCTTTTGCTTTTTGATAGCCAAGATGTTGTAACACTTGAGGGGAGAGGCCATGCTCCTGGAGTTTCCCCTCAGCTGCTCTTAGCCAGGTTCCACGGTGGCTGTTGGCAAAGTTCAAGGGTTCCAGACCCATGATCCCTCTAAGCTGTGGAGTCTTGTGAACAAAAATTCTACTTTGTGAGCCACTGGCATTAAAGTTGTGAGCTAGCTATTTGGCTTCTGCATCAATTAGTTTGCTCTGGAGCCATCCTTCCTGAGCTAAGACAAAAATGTGTGAGCTGGAGGCTAAAAAACGGTGAGCTAGCTCACACTAACTCAGAGGGAACACTGGTACCAGACCCACTGGACTGAAAGTGAGTTTTAGCCAGTAGATGGATGCGAGTAGCCACATACATGCCTCCAGGGAGATCAACCCAGCCTCTAATCTACGAAAGGCATTTGGAATACATTGTGGGACTCCAGAAATCATTCGTAGGAACTTAGATTGTACTGCTTCCAGGAGGCACCTTTCTTTATGAATACAGAGCTGGGAACCGTACAAACCTTTTCCTTGGAAGACCTTGATTGCTGCAGGGGTAAAGGAGGCCCCTTTCGTGAAGTGGAATCTCATAATGGCAGGGGTTGCTCTGTGGGCAGTCTCTGCAACATACAGTGCCGGAGATCTTCAGTGTCCAGATGACTGTAAGACTATGCCAAGATATTTGAAGGTTTTTGTTTGTTCGGTGTTGTGGCCCTCAGTTTGCCCTACCTTGCAAGTGGGCTCAGGATGGCTCACATCATAGTATAAAACAAGAACAATTTCAGACATCACATAGTCAATATAGTAGGAATAAAGTTAAAATTACATAATAATCTACTTATCCTGGCCAGCAGATGGGCAGCTGGTGGCATTCAGTCATGTCATTTCCAGCAGCCTTGCCGGATCTCGATTTATTAATCTTTTGACTTCATTAACTGTTAACGGTGGCCATATTGGAAGGTTTCGCAGTTGGGTCTCTAGTCACAACACGCACCTAAAAGTAGGAACTCGACAAGATAGTGACCATCTCCCAATCCCTTTGGATCTCAGCAGCTGCAACCCACCAGCATGCATTTTTGGGCAACCCAATGGTGACCTAGAACCCACTCTAAGCTACAGAAGGTTAGTTTGGTCCAAGAAAGCAAATGATCAGTGCCTAAAATAACTTATCTCGGACAAAGCATCTCAGCTCCAAAATGCTGTGATTTCAGCCAATGATATAGACACTGCAATCTCATCATATCAACAACTTACGACTGGACACAAACCCTTCTAAGGAAACCTCATGGCCGCAGTATCCAACCATCAAGGGAAAACAAATCAAAGACCTGGTTTGATGCAGACTGCCATGCAGCGAAAAACAATTTAATGATCATATTCCAACAGCACGGGCTAAGTAATGTATGTACAATTCCCCCAGAGTTTAAAACCTCAAAGCAGCATTACAAAAACTATTGGAGAAAAAATGGAACACACAAAAGGGCTCCTGGACCGGGATGATTCAAGCCTCGAAATGAAATAACTCTTGCAATGTTTTGGCATCTAATTAAGGCTGAGCTCCATACACAATCTCCAAAGATAAGTTGCAATTTTCTCTCCCCGTCTTTGGGAATCTCATTTCCATGCACTTTATTCATCCAAAATAGACCCAAATACATGCCTAGAATTGCCTGAATAGAGGCACCAAGGCCCTCCCTCAGGAGGTCTGCTGTTCTCATATAAAGACAGTTGTAGCAGCCTTATAGTAAATTAGACCATGGTCTATCAAGGTCAGTATTGTCTATCTAAGGGTTCAGGCAGAAGTCCTTTTGCATAACCTACCGCCCGGTCCTTTTAACTGGAGGTGCCAGGGATTTAATTCCTTCCGAGCAGATGCTCTACCACTGAGCGACATCCGCTACATCCTCTCCATCTTTGCTGCACATTGTTCTTCATCTCCGCGCCCTGTTGGGCTCTGTGCAGATGGATTACTCTTTCAGGGAACGTTGGGTTCGTTGAACGAGTGGCTTAATTCCAAAATGAATTTTACTGTGTGTCAAATGCAGTATATTATGCTTTCTTTTGCTGGGTTTTTTAACATTTGTTTCTGCTAATAATCTGGAATTCAAACCTACAGTTGCATTGCTAAGAGTCGAACATGGGCCCCTTCACTGGGAATTCAAGTGGCACTGGACTGCTTCCTTGTAGTCACGAAATGTTTGTCTCTGCAGATTACCATCGCTGTGAGAAAGCCATGGCAGCCAAGGGAGGAGATCCTTACGTTTGTCAGTGGTACAAAAGGGTGTACACGTCCCTCTGCCCAGTTTCTTGGGTAGGTAAATAAAACCAGGCTTGGGGTTAGCGAGCTGGGAGGTGTGTGAGAAGGGGTGGTGAGTGCGGCTTTAAGGGTAAGGGAGGGAACGGATAGAAATTGAGGCAGGTAATGCCTGGCATATTCTGGGGTTCTGCATCTTTTGGGTTTGGTCTAAGAGGGGTTTCTGTGCCTGCATTATGTGGAGCCCATTCCAGTACATAGATGCAAACCTTTAGGCTGGGGCTGTTCATGCATTTGCTTAAAGATAACCCACTTATTTGCTGAAATTATCTGGTGAAAAGTATTCTTAATCCACCTATAGATGGAACACTCTGTCTGGAGCAGGGATGCTCTGTATTCGTGGTGCCTGGGGGGCAATAGTTGGAGGGCTTCTGGCCCCACTGGTGGACCTCCTGATGGCATCTGGGTTTTGGCCCCTGTGTGACACAGAGTGCTGGACTGGATGGACCACTGGCCTGATCCAACATGGCTTCTCTTGTGTTCTTATTCAGATTTACCTAATTTGAATGAACCATGGCCCACTTTGCCTAGAGGGATGTGAGCCCTGGGAGCTTTGCCCCATTTAGACTTGAGGTCCCCAACATGGCACCCACCAAGTGTTTTTAGAAACTGGGCAAGGTGAGGCGGGGCTTGTGCCTGGGAGGGCTTCTGATTGGCTGTGCAGACTAAAAGGTATCCTGTTCAGGCAGAGCTTCTGCCTCAGAAGTTGAAGAGTTACTGTGATAGTTATGCGTAACCTCGCTCCCTGACGTTCTGTGGTCGGCCCTGCCCTCCCGTGACAGCCATTTTGTCCTTGCAGCCACCACCCCGTGTCAGGATTCCAAATGTGCCCACGGGCTCAAAAAGGGTGGGGGACCCCTGATTTAGACTATTCTGGTAAATGCGCAAAGGAAAGAGAGTGATAATTGAAGGGGAAACAACGCAACATTTGTGAAACCAATGAAAAGGTAGGGTAGGACTTCTTTTCATGATGATCTGTCTTCTGCACCATGGAACCTTCTGCAGGCCTGCCCGTCTGCATTTGATCCTCTGTTTTTTTAAAAAAACTTCTTATAACTATGAGGACTAAGAGTCTGACTTCTTTAATGTAAGTTGTAGAATACTGTGTGGAGCTGTTCTGCTGCCAACCTCAATTCCAGCCACTTCACCTCTAAATAATCCCCACAGATCGGTCCGCTGACTTCACGGAACTGTTGTTTCTCTTTCAGGTCGCTACCTGGGACGAACGCATAGAACAGGGGACTTTCCAAGGCAAGATCTGATGGTCTCGTGCCTGCCCAACCGCTCTCCTCCTCAGGATGTCGCAGCACCGCTGAGTCCCCTCTGTGGGGTGACTCTGGAGGATTGTCTGAAGTACATCCCCTTTCTGGCTCCTGTCTGTCTTGAAAGTCCAAAATCATGTTGTGGCACAGAGTCTTGGACCTTGCAAATTCTCATTAAAGGGATGAAACCTGTCGTTACGTCCATTTATAGTCAGGTTGACTGATGAGCAGTTCCCCTTTGAGCTTTCACCTGTGACAGCATGTTCCCACAGGGTGGTGTGCTTCTTACTTCAGTGGTCAGTGGCACTCTAGTTGCGCCTAACCTACCCCTCCCCTCAAACAGGGCTGGCACCAGCATGCCATCAGGTGGGGCAGTTGTTGAGGCTTCGGGCGGGGCCCACTGATGCCGACCCCCATCCCAACATGCCATTTCCCAGCCTGTTCGCTTGTGAATTTCTTGCTGCCCCTGCTCCCAGCTGCACACACTGCCCAGTGCTATCAGGGGAAAGTGCTGCAGGCAGTGCAGATAGCTGTGAGCATGGGCAGTTGGCAGTTGTAATCTTGGCACAGGAAGAATGCACAGACAGGTAGCGAGACACACCAGTGTGTGCACTCTCCGCCCAGGCCCCCACCCCCAAAATCTGGAACCGGCTTGCCTCTTGGGAATAGCTTTGTACAAAAATATAATCTTAGTCTGGAAGCAGGGATAACTGTAGCAGGGTGAGTTATCTCTGACAGCTGAATGATGACTAGCAGAGGAAAGTCGTCAGGAGTTGATTATGATTAGCAAAGGGAAGTTGGAGAAACGACATAAGAGGTTTACAAAATTATGCATGGGACAGAGAAGGTAGAGGAAGAAGTACTTTTCTCCCTTTCTCACAATACAAGAACTTGTGGGCACTCAATGAAATTAATGAGCAGTAAGCTTAGAACAGATAAAAGGAAGGACTTCTTCACCCAAAGAGTGATTAACACGTAGAATTCACTGCCGCAGGAAGTGGTGGCAGCTGCAAGCATAGACCGCTTCAAGAGGGGATTGGATAAACTATATGGAGCAGATGTCCATCAGTGGCTATTAGCTACAAGGTACAGAGGGAACACTTATGTCTGGGGCAGTGCTCCTATATTCTTGGTGCTTGGGGGGGGGGGCACAGTGGGAGGGCTTCTGGAGTTCTGGCCCCACTGGTGGACCTGATCACACATGGGATTTAGTCCCTGTGCGACACAAAGTGTTGTACTGAGTAGGCCATTGGCCTGATACAACATGGCTTCTCTTACGTTCTTATGACTGCTTCTGAAATCACTCCTGGGCCCTTAACACCCTCCCTACCCATCTGTTCTACTGGCATGTAGGGAAATTGCATAGAGGGGGAGGGGAGAGTATATGGGGCGAGTATATGGGGTGCTAATTCAGCACTGCTGTTCACAGAGTAACAGAACAGGACATATTTGACTCTATTCTAATGCAAGACAATTATTGGAGTAAAACAAGCTCTTGTGTGTATAAACTGCCATCAAGTCAGAGCTGACTAACAGCAGCCCCATGGGTTTTAAAGGCAAGAGGCAAACAGAGGTGGTTTGCCCTGGACTTGCTCGGTGGTCTCCCACCCAAGTACTAACCAGGGCTGAGCCTTGCTTTACTTCCGTGTTCTGGCAAGACTGGGATAGCCTGGCCCATCTAGATCACAGCAGAAGCCTCTGACTGAGGTTAATTTTTCTAAAATCAGTTTGGAGCAATGGGTGCTTATTCTCACACGTTTGCTGTGGTGGAGAGACTATTCTCTTCTAGGGCTATTCAACTCATATTGTCTGGAGGGATGGAGAAATGTCCTGTTCTCTCTCTCTTGCTAAAACCTTATCTCACCTATTTCCCCCACCCGAGGCAGTGGCTATGCTACAACTGAAGGTCCATCCAGGTGGCACACAGATATAAAGAGCAGAAACCGATACTTGTATCTGCTGTAATGTCAGATGAGACTGGGAAGACTGGATCTTGCACACTGCAGTTGTATGTGCAGCTAGATATAAATCTTTCAACTAGTGAGCTAGGGCTTGAATGAAAACGAAATGAAAAACGGAGAGACTAAGAGATCTACACTACAAAACTACACTGGTCCTGTATGCCTGTCATAAAAATTTTCAAATATGAACATCAAACCCAGGGGTCATTTCGTAGAAAAAGAGCTAGGGAAACTCATTAGCATAACTCATTAGCATATGTCACACCCCCTGACATCATCGGAAGTGTGTCATAAGGCCACACCCCCTGACATCACCGGAAATGTGTCATAAGGCCACACACCCCGCCCCCAACGGTCCTGGCCGCCACCACCGGCCTTGCAGCTCCACTGCCGAGCCCCATGAGGGGCCCGGCGGTGGACCTGCAAGGCCGACGGGAGTGCAAAGAAGCCCCGCGAAGGCCCTCCCTGGCCCCAGGCAGGCAGGGGTGGGGAGAGGCAGGGAGGAAGCAACTTACCCTCCCTCTTCTCCTGCCTCCTCCTGGCTGAATGAGGGCCGGAA